GTTTTGCCAATAAGATTTTATATAGTTTTTCCAATGACCAAGTTTTGCCAGGCAATTATATTCCAAGTATACTTGGAGGTAGCAAAGTGATGGAAACTTGCTGCGTCATGTAATGGCTTGTTAGTTAGAACGGAAGCAAAGAAAACAAAGAAAAATATGAGTTTGCTTGATGAACCGCGTTAATATAAGAGGTTAAAAACTTGTATATAATAATATACATCTAATACTGATTTATTATTGTAGAACTTTAAGACACTGCGTGGACGAAATTTAAAGAATTTATTTTACAGTAACACTTATTTATACAGCAGGTCGTGTAAACAATTTCAGTTTATTATTCATAAAATATGTGCATATAGCGTAATAATAATGTAAAATAACATGCAACCTTCGTTTGATAATGAAACTGAACCGAATTAAAAACTTTACTTTTCAGAAATGCAATAAATAAAAAAATATATATTAATTGGTCTAAAATCGACGTACAATTTCTCTTTGTATTACTTACTTATTAAGGAAGGTGATATATGAACGATTTCCTTCTTCCCATTTAATAAGATCATATAGACATGCTCGATGTATCAAAGTGAATACATTTGGTTTTATTTTTCAAGTTATAAACTTTGAAACCTGCTGAGTTTCTTAGAATCTATCCGACATATTGCTTGACAAAACCAACTTTACAAATTTAATTAAAAAAAAGGTCGTCTTTAAAATTTTTATGTAGATCGAATATCGGAATGTTAAAAATATCGCACGATCGAGAATGAGATATTGAGCAAATTTTCCATTTGTAACATTTTGGTCATCTATTGCATTAATGAAATATTTTATTAATGGTTTAATTTAATGAGTTACAATTCGTAAAATCGAATTTTAAAAATCTCTATTTTTTACATTGCGCATTATATTTTCGTTAAAGGCTAAATGGCCATTATTACAGCAAAAAAAAAAATTGGGTCCAGCAACTCTGAAATCATAAATTATATAAGTTGTCATTGACTGACCTTATGTGGTTACTTGCAGCTTATTAATTAGTAAAAACATACAAAAAACTAACAAGCTGATCCTTTAGCGAGTGCGAAGAATTGAAATTGAAAAGTAGAGATTTTTTCAAAATTATATTTTACACTATGCATTACTCTAAACCAAACAATGAACAAATGTTTCATTAAGTAATAGTTAATTAAAAAATATAGCTCAGTTACTTATAAAATTTACAAAATTATCTAATTCTTGACCGTGCAATACTTTTGTCCTCCCCGGTAAGTACACGTATAGTAGATCTTTAGATTTTCCTCCTATAAATATCGATCAAATTCGGACTTGTAGTCACTTAATTAAAAATAACTCATAAGACCTTTATATTTCTTATTCTTAAATAAAATTGTAAGTATTTAATAAGTAAAATCCTCTATATCTCTTTTTTTTTTTGATTCGAACAAGTTCTTTGAACTTGAAAATTTGCTATTACCGCCTGAAGTACTATACCGTGCACCGCACTTAATTTATTTATACAATAGCTTTTTTATTATAAAATTTATCACGAAATTATTGTAATTCTAGCGTGGTTACTATGTTTATTACTATAGTATAAAGAAAAAATGTTTTGTCGAGTTGCATTTATTTCCTTTACCTAAATATAGTTAAGATTAATTACCGTATAGTATACCCTGAAACTTCTGTAGAATGTAAATACCCGGATATCATAGAGTGCGCATTACGTTATATTTATTATATGATTTTATCACAAGTGGCTAAGGTCATTTTCCTGACAAAACTCCATACCGTATAAATTAAGGGTTGGAACTCTAAATACATTGCATTGTTTTAAAAATAAAATATCGATACGGATAATATTTTGTGTAATCTAAGTTATTAAAAATGATAAGCAGTCACACGTTACAATATATACTGATTATTAAAAGATTTTTAAAGATTTTAAATGTTATGAACATTTTATAGTAGAACTTCCTTGGCATATGGATTTTGTTTTATCATCTATAGTAAGAGAATTTGAAAATGAATCCAATTCTTTATTTGGACAATGCTTAGAATGTGGATTAGAAAGAGTCAATAATAGATGGTGTAAAGATTGTGAAACCAATGCCTTTAAAGAGAATTTTGAAAATTAGTGTTATGCTGAATCAGTTAATTTAACACTATGTATTTGAAGAAGCATTAGAAACTTTTGGGTAAATACATTAAATAAAATATTACAGGTAATATTATTGATAAAGAGAATTTAATATCAAATTAAAGTTACATAAACAGAATGAGAGAGTATTGACCTACTTCTTGCTGAATTTATTGATAATAATGAATGTTAGATGGTAAAGGTTCAATTGATAATCGAAATATATCCCTTTGGAATTTGATAAAGATTTGGTAGAAGCCTTTTAGTTCAGTTACTTCATAAGAACATCCTCTTTTTAAGAAATAATATTCAATTAAATAATAAATAATGTCAAAAACTATTAAAATGTTATGATACTGGATTAGAGAAATTAAAAAAAAATATATAGGCAAGAAATTTTACAACTGGAAGCGGTTAATACTAAAGGAAGAAAAGCCAATGAAGTAGTAGTTAGAAAATTTAAAGATATTTTAAAAGCTGAAAAAAGCAAAAAAGGGTTTCAAAATAAATTGCGAATATCCACTCAAAAAGATGATAGTAATTTAATATTACCTGAACAAATATCTCTCCTTTTGAAGAAATTGTAAGTGTTTAGATACAGATATTGAACTCGTTCTGATTCATCAAAAAAACAGAAAGTGACGCCATAAAATAACTCAACAGGAAAAAGACTTACTAGCACCATTAATGACTTCAAATTCACTTACAGAAGAAAAGTCGAAGAAGTTCTAAAAGCATTATTACAGTATTGGGATGGATGGACTAAAAAAAATGCGAAATTATTGAAATTATTGGAGCCATTTTTTTCTCACAAAATTGCATATATATTCTCTAATAAAAATATACTTTTGTTCCTACTTTTAAAAGGATCTTAAAAAAACTGGTTTTTAAGACGAATTTCTCAAAAAAAAAAAAAATATCAAACTCCGATATGCACAGTATATTAAAATTGACAGTTAATCACTTAATGGTTATTATGGTTACACAAAATCCTCTAATATGAAAATGATCTTCATCCATACACGTCTCTTGCGAAAACCAAATTAGTATATCTTATGAGTCATCGGGGAACTCCTAATGTCATTAAATTACGCTATTCTACTGATTCCCAATTAGGGCAATTTCTTAGACGTATGATTTGAGAAGTTTCATTGTCGTACGATGGTGGACTTTTCCATCTTTCCGTAGAGTGTGGGTAAATGTTCCTTTTGATCCTTCACAATTACGCAATATGCGCAATTCGAAGATTTGAGCTTGATTAGATATTCACGCATAATCAGGTTACAGAAATTTATTTATCCTAAATAATCATGCTGACAAAATTAAAAATTCATTTCATAACGTTAACGTTGCTTATTATGTCAATTTATTAAACAACTTAATTGGTCGCTTGTCAAAAATCTAGATTGTTTATAAAATCGGGTTTTGGAGAAATTTTTTATGTAACACGAATTTATTCTTTGATCATGCGGGCTGACATGCATTTAAAATTTTAAACCAAGACAACAATAAGCTACAAAGAATTTAATTTATTTATAGCTTATCATTATACTCCAAAATTAGTAAATAAATCATCCATTAGGAAAAACTATATGTAATAAATTTATAATTATTACTACTACCATACTATATGGATATGGGATAAAGTCCCATTCCTTAAACCAAAACTTTAACAAAACAATTTTGTCACAACTAAATGATGATATTTTCGAAGGATTATTATTTTAATTTTGTAAGTGGAAATTTTGATCATGATATACTATACTTAAAAATAAAAAATAAAATATATATATGTAAATTAAATGGGTTTGGGGAATTTGGGGATTGGCGAGTATTGCAGAAATTATTTTATATCACTTTAAAGTAAATAAACAACAATTATATTTCTACACAAGAGAACATATCATCTTATTTTCATAATATTTCGTAATAATTTGATATAATGTCAGTGTGCAATTTTGTTACAAGAAAATAATTTTTTATGCGTCATTATTTTGCTGCGCCATGTTCCTAAAAAAATTTGAAGAAAACGATGTCTAGTTAGCTAGACGATATCATTATTGAATACTATGTAAACAATATGGAACAAAGGGAAGTACAAAGAATTTCTAAGAAAATATGATTTTGTTTCAATCATATACTAACATAAATTCTTTGATTACTTTAACGATTTAGAGAATCACTCTTCCTTATCTATAGCAACAAGACAATAAACCTACCAAATATAAATTATATTTATTATCCTGCTTTTGTTCTTTAATACACCTTACGATATACGGTTTGCAATAGCTTCATATGCTTTTATAGTGCTTAATTAAAAATAAAATATAGCGTGACCATAATAATATGTTGATCAAACAACGTTACGGCAAGCTTGTGAGCTAGAATTTGCGACAAATATATTGCCAAAGTAAATATAGGAAATTATTGCGGAATAAGCTAGAGAATTTAAAATCAAAAACAATTATCATTCTGAACAGCTTACTTTCCAAGATCTATAATTTTGATATCCAGATGTCAAAATACAAAGAAATAATTCGGTTTTGGATTGCTTTGAACTGAACTGGAACCGAAGGACTTCATTTTCAGCTAAAGGTAAAAAGTAAACTTATATGTGGGTCTCTGAATTCGCTAGAACAAGCATCCGGTTTATGACATTTATTTGTTTAAATTGTTTATATTACATATAAAGGACAGTGTTATATAGGTGTTCTTACCCTTTCTATTACACATGAAACATTTCGGCAAATTAGCATTCCGTAATTTGAATTTCAGAATATTTGTGCAAAATAACACCTAAACCTTTAATGACTCTAATGTTTTGTTTTAAACAATAAACGGATGAAGGTTCAAAAAAAAAAAAATGAAATTTTTAGAAGTATATTTTCCACACGTAATCTTTTTTTTATTTTTTATTTTTTTTTAAAAAAAAAAAATTATTATAATAATATAGTATATAAAAAAAAGTATAATCTAAAATAGACAATTTTCAAGTCGCTTTTTCGCTTAATTAAAGGACCGTCAAACTGATGACGTGCATGACAAAGAATTACATGCTCATGCATTAAGGACATTGATATTGGATCACCCTAACTTTAGATTGGAAAAACTTGTTGTTTCATGGTACCGCTACACAAAATGCAGGTTGCACAAATTATTTTGTGGCTATTTCGTGAATGAAATAGCAACCATACATTATAGGATTTCATTTTATAAACAAAAGTATATTATAAGAAATACATAGCAAAATCAAATACGTAAATTTAATCAATTCTTTTAAAGTTTTAATTCTTCCGATCCGAAAATGTCCGGATGGGGCAACGGACTGTATGAAAAGTTAATAAATAAAAACAGCAACTAAATTTGTATATTATATACAAATTTAGTAAATTCGCGCGATATTGTTTACCATTTTAGGATCATTTTATTTTATTGGTGTAACTTTGAACCAATCATACTAAATTTATTTATTGATAAAAATGGAAATATTTTATTCGTTTCGCAATTTATGAAATTGAATCACATGGGAGTTTGCAATTTATAAGATCGAAGAGTTGTGCGTTTGGTACATAACATATGTCATGATGCAGCTCTACATATATATTACGAAATGAGAGGTTATCAAAATAATACAAAGGTCAATGAGATCTTATAATTGACATCAGATATAAATATAGGATGAATTGTATCAAGTTCAAAGAATCAGCCCAAAATTTTACTCGGTTCTGTATAGCCAATTCCTTTAATTTGAATAAAACTTCTACTTTCTTATTCTTAATAAAATTGTAAGTCTTTAATTAAATTCTCCATTGTATTCTTTTTTAATTTGAACAAGTTCTATGAACTTGAAATCTGCTATTATATTTATTATATACACAGATGTTCTACACAATTGGCTAATATGCTATGGACAAACATGACCTTATAAGACTATATAATATCTAGTCTAATAAGGCCATATTCCTAGAACCTTCCATAGATGATTTCTATAATGGAGTTAATGGAGCTCCAATTTATATTTTTTTTTTAAAAAAAAAAAAAATAAATAAATAAATCACGCGTTATTTTTAACAAACCATTTCGTGTAACAATATAATAAATAAAAATTAAAAGATCGCACAATCCACTAATATGATTTTTATTTCACAGTGGAATGTCCTTGCAAATACATGATTTTACAGATTTTACTTTACCACCATTAGTAAGAGAATCTGAAGATGAACACAATTATGTTTTTGGACAATGTTTTGAATGTGGAAAAGAACGAACCAGTGATGGATGGTGCAAAGTTTGTGAAACCAATGCCTTTATAGAGAATTTTGGAAATTGGACAAGCGAAAATATAAATATTGATAAGTTTATTAGAAGTTCTCAATTAAATGCAAATGGGAGTGTAGATTATTTAGAGTATATAAATTTCAAACAATTTGATCTTATAGAAAACACAAATAAAGGCGGTGCCTTTAGCACGATTTATTCAGCAGTTTGGATGGAAGGTCCTCGATGGATTTGGGATGAAATGGCCGACCAATGGACACGTAATGGACCGATAAGAGTTGCTCTTAAGCGACTTAATAATTCGCAATGTATAAGCGAAGGCTATTTGAATCAGGTTAGTCAAATTTTATTTATAATTCTTAATTCATTTAATATTTAACATTAATAACATTATTTGATGAATTTTAATTAAAGCTTTATAAATATCAGCGCTGCTTACATGGTGGAAGTGTTGCAGATTTATTTGGTATAACTAAGGATCATACTTCAAATTACATGTTTGTCATGAAATTTTATGAAAACGGAGACTTACATTCATATCTAGATGAAACCCAAGGAATGCTTTGCTGGAGAGATATTATTGATATGCTTTGGGAAATAGCTGGAGGTATTGAATACATACATGAGAAAGGATTAATTCATGGAAATCTTCACGGAGGTAACATCTTAATAGAGCATGAGCCAGATTCAATTAATACACGTATTTCTGATGTAGGATTAAACGGTCCCGCTAATAAAATAGATTCAAATGATATTTATGGAGTACTTCCTTATGTAGCTCCTGAAATCTTGCAAGGAAAACCACTAACAAAAGCCGCAGATATTTTTAGTTTTGGAATAATTATGTGGACGCTTTCTGCTGGTATTCGTCCATGGAGTAATATACCACATGACTTTAAATTAGCCAATGAAATTTGTTCCGGACTTCGCCCAGAAATTATTGATGGTACTCCAAATGTTTACATTCAATTAATGGCACAATGTTTGCACTCCGATCCTTTTAGACGTCCAACTGCATTTGAATTAAACGAATTATTAGGAAGTTGGATCACTGCTATATGTGATGATCCAGATCAGTCCGAACTATCTGTTCAATTTGACCTTGCTGAAGAAAAGAAATTTTCAAATTTGGAAAATAATAGTTTTCATCGAGAAAGAATTCATCCTGAAGCATTTTATACAAGCAGGCTCTTGTATTTCCCTGAATTGCATAACAATGATGAACTTTTGTAAAAATAATAATCATATTTTCGAATCTTATTCGACGGCTACAATTTTGTTTGTATTTCGATAATATATATGTTGGCAAGTATAAACGTATATAATTATCAAAAAAAATATAAATTGGCAAAAAATTGTTTAATATTATCGATAAAAATGAAGAATAACATTTTACAAACGGCTTTAATTATTCGCAATTTTATTGGCATTAAAACGTCTATTATAATCATATATTCCTATCGACGGCAAACACATAAATCATAAGTAATATTATTTATTTCTTAATGGCAAAACACAAATCAATATTAAAATGATTTACTAACCTTGCCCAACTCCTTAACCAATAGTCCGTAACTCCTAGAAATCACAATACACTATATAGAATTTAGAAACTAAGACATAAGTATCACTAAGCTGTAAAACACTAAGTTTATCTCTCTGGTGTATAATATCATAACGAGTATTCACACTAAATCTATTTATGAATGAAGAGAAATAAACGGTAACTTTATGTTCAAATTAATTTAACAAAAAAAAATTCAGAAAAATTTCCTGAATAGTCATTATTATTTCGTTTAGTGCTCCGAAAGGGTCGGGTCGAGTAACCAGAACCGGCCATTGTGTAATTCGATTCAACCCGACTGATACGTTAATTTTACATATTAAATCCCTTAGAACCTGAATACAATCAAACTCTCTAAATGCACCCTCTCGAATTGCACACACTATATATTTTCTCCAAGCATATAGAGATCATATAAAAATTTTCTCTTTAAAGGCACACCCTCTTTATATGCATATGGGGGGCGGTCAATAGAAAAGGGGGAAATCTACAAATTTAGAGTAATTTTAGTTATTAAGCTAGTTTTGTTCACATGATCATGATCAGCAGAGTGAACCAATAAAAAAAATTTGACTAAAAAGTGGATTTCCCACCGACCGCCCCCAAATAATTTTTTTTTTAATAAAATGTTACTACTCGATGTGGAGAAATAAATACAAAATAATTATTCAATAATTATTAATCATTTTGAAACCTGCGTTTCATAATCAGTTTACAATATAACTTTTTATTGAACAATACCAAGTTGAAGCCTCAAACAATCATAAAAAAAAAAAAAAAAAAAAATTTCAAATATAAAAATGGTTATTAGTGAAAGTGAAGGAATTTCCATAAATACCGTAATCAGTATTAAATAATATGCATTTAAATATTGACACAAATCAAGTTTTCAAAGTAATTAATTCTATAAAGAAAGAATTTCACATTTAAATACATCACAGATTGTTTGAATTACTTACTAAATTCGAATAAAGAATTTACCTTTTAAAGTTCCGTATTTATCCTAATCATATGAACTCATTCATAAGCGTTTTCAAAACAAATCAGTTGTACATCGCAACTTTAAGCAATTTCTCATACTAGACTACTTCATAATCAGATTTATTTAGTCGCGAACGACATCACCATATAAAACCATCTCGACCGCAAGATTTTGAGGTAGAGTTACACGAGTTACACAATGCTCGTCATTTGATATATATTATTTCATTTATATGTTAGCGTTAGACTGCATGAATATCGTTACTAAAACTGGATCCAATTTTTTTAATCATATATATTTGGTTTTTATGGTACAAAACGTGCATTATAATTGTCTCTAAATCATTATCTAAGACAAGCTTGTGAAGTTTTTAAAAAAAAAAATAATTTAACTCGTCAGCAATTAAGATAATTTTATTTGTCCATTATAAATTCGGATGTTCTGCAAGTTAAGAATGGGAACGAATCCATAACTTTTCAATGAAAAATATACTGTACATGTAGTAAAGTGTATCCATGGCTGAAAAATTAACTTTTGATTTAAAATCACATAACGAGTTCTTTTCACATGTTGTAAGAGAGAATTACAATCCATTGTAGGTGAAAAAACTGATAAAATTTTAAAAATCCTTAACAGGTTAATAAACTGTTTAAATAAACATTTATTTTTAAAAAAAGTATGCGGCCGGCTTAACGTTAGAAATATAAAATTTTTTGATATTTTATTATTGCGCGAACACACGATGCTTTCTGCGCATTACGCAGCAAACATGTGGCCGAAACTTTATTCACTGCAATCGTTAACATGTTTGAACCAGTTATTTACATCTTAAAACGGACGTTGGACCTATGGAATTGATACTTTACAAATTTGGAAAGATTTTAAGATTTGGCTTTGATCAGTTTGCTTTAAAAGCCAATTACAGAATTCAGAAAAGGATCACGAAGCGTCACGTATGAACGCTCTAGAATAGACATACGATCCAATCATACTTGAGTAATAGATAAATACTTCTGAATCCATTCGAAATAATTAAGTCTACAATATTTCCTTTTATGAACAATACTAAGGAGAAATCAAATCATAAAATAAAATAAAATTGAGATATTTCGCATAAAGCATGATCGGAATGATAAAACACCGGTAACCGCTAATAATGAAATCTGAAAACCAAATAAAAAATCAAGTTTTCAAATATTTGACCTTTTATGAACAATATTCAAATCATTCATTGTAAGTTCTAAAACAGCCCACTGTGCGTTGGAACTTTGTTCTCATTAAGCATCTTATGCTAGACTATTAAATTAGTCACGACCTACGTAAGGAGTCACCAAAAATATAGTCAGAGGTGGTTATATATTTTATTAGTTACACCACATTTTGAACATGAAACCATTTTTATCAAACTTTTTTTTTTTTCATTGTATAATTCATGCCTTCTTTTTTATTTATTTATTTATTTATTTATTTTTTTACTGTCTCATATCAAAATTTGTCTTTATATTTTATCCGCAAGCAATATCATGAATTTATATCTATAATGTCTAAATTCATTTCAATAGTATCGTTCATGAAAACTTCTTTGCCTATTTTTGGGATCATTTACAAAAATCGGTAAATACATTAATCCGTACGACACGTACAAAGTTTTTTTTTTATGTAAATAGATTGTGTACTGTATATAAAATAAATTGAAATTAGAATTGAAAAAAAATTTTTTAATTTAAATGCAATTCATCAAATTTAAATTTGGAATTTTATTTGTCACATGACAAGCAAAACAATTCTTGTATAAAGACGCGAAAAATTCTTTGACCCATATCGTAAAAATATCACCTCTAAATAATATACATTTTGAATTCCTTTTCCTTCTACATAACACATTGAACGCTTTTATTATCTTTTTTAAAAAAATTAAAAAATTAAAATGTCTGACGGCCTTTTAGAATACATACTCGTGGATTTCAACCGAAAACTTTCCACAGCTTACGGTATCAAAGCCATTGAGGACATTGAACCTACGGTGCTCAAATGGATAGAGTTTCTTGAAACGTTTAAGAACATAAATTTCAGCGAAGTTATTCAGCTTATGGAAAACCACCCGAATTCTCAACAGAGGTTTAGTAGTTTGATCGGCATTTTCTATCAACTTGTGATTAAAAATAAAGAAAAAGCACTTTTTTTTTATAATTCTACCACCAATCTCGAACCAAAAGACCACGTTGAAACCTGTAATACCTAAAATAATCAAATGTTATTAACCATATTCTACGAAAATAAAATAATTAACAAATGGGATGTTCTAGATAATTATGGTGTAAGTGTAGATGATGCCTTCGATTTCTTTCAGAAGTCGGAAGATGGTG